GGAGAAATCAGTTCACTGTGCTTGACCGAGCGTTTGGTCGCAGTTCAATCTTTAACGTGTGACGACTGAGTTACCAGTGATTCGTCAATTCTATTTCCACAGGCAGGTTTCAATAATCTCATGAGTTATCGATCGACCAGATAATTGAAGAGATGAACTCGTGAACAGTATCAGCCACATTGTGAATACAAAGTTTCTCCAAACAAATTATTCATTGTGCGTAACACAAGGCGGCAACCGTATTGTGCCCCCCCCCCTCACTGTCACCATATTATCACATGGCCATAACTCAAATCAGCCTCTCGACCACTGACTCACCTCAGGTACCAGTTGCCAAGACGAAGTACAATCGCGGTAGCACTAGTATCGCCCGTTTTGAACCGAGGTAGGTGTGTGAATTCCATGAGATGAGATTGCAAAATTTTTGTCGCCGTAACGACAGTGTCTTTTATATAATTTTGTTGAAATTAAAACTAATTTGATGGAATTCCGTATTTCGGCTGTTCATTCGGTGACCGACTGGATTACCAAAACTGGACATGATCGTGCTCCCTGAAGCACTGATAATCCAAATTTTGGGGNATTTTGGGGTAGATGTGTGGACGGGGATGCAATAAACTTGTCGTGGGGTGCATTCTGAAATAAAACCGAAGTGATTCTGAACAATCGGAATCTCTGTATTGAAATCTAAGTAACTGAGTTGGTATTCGTCGCATCAGATCATGAACTGAAGCACTACTTCTAAGCATCTTATTCGTGTTTAACCTGTAATTTGACAATTCGCATCCTCCTTCCGGGGTAAGTTTGACCAATCATACGTGAAAAAAGATCGTGTTGCGATTTATTGAATAATAACGTTCTAGGGCTTACAGTTTTGTGAATAACCGCAAAATAACGATTAACCTTTGAGATTGGTATCGATCGAAAAACCAAGCGGAATGTCACATTGTCCTATAAAACGTTTGCCAATATCGATTATCCGCCGTACAAGAGAACATCATCATCAATGCAATCGATGAAAAGACACTTTTTAATTACGTCCTTTCAACAATAATTCAAGCTTTGAAAACACAACATTTGGGATACCGAAACACGGGTTCATGAGTCGCGTATAGCTATCTCTTCATTGACCATTTCGTTCTGCCGATGATAGGCTTTTATCAAAATTATCTTGCTTAATGTAACTGGGTAAATTATGGTTTGAACATGTTTTAGAATGTGCTGAGTTTCTTGTGTCAGAACCCACAGATCAACGATCTCTATGGAAGCGCCTAATCACAATTTTGTTATTTTAATTGCTGCTTTGAATTTGTAGAGCTTAATTTAGTCTGAAGTCTACCCAATTAGTTTTGGCCTTCTATTAGGTGACTAATTACTTGGCTAGTCCTAAAAGATCCAAACATGGAATTATTCGAAATATACTTAACTGTATAACGTTTACCCGTTAGATACCACTCTTTTTATAACAATCATTGCAATGTGATTTGTTTGACAGTCTGTACCCAAACACGTGTGAAATATACCATACTACGCACTATTTAGCCTCATATGAACAGTAGCACCTGAATTGAAAATTCATTGAACGCAAGCGTTTCCTGTATTTCTACCTGTTTTTAGATGCCACCAGGAAGCGTCATCTCCTAGCTAGATATCATTATCGAACCCATTAGACCTATGTAATTGCGATAGACACTAATTGGTCTGTTGTTACTAGTTGTACAGCTGGTGTCAGTGTTCTTTTCCCCAAGCAAATGAATCAATAAATAGGTGAATGTAACCTTTTCGGTCTCGTCCGCGATGACACTTGGGATGTTATTGTTTCAAAGCACATTCAACTGAATCTTAAATTACAATTTCGTTAAATCGGTAACGGTGAATCCTAAACTTGGTAATAATTCGCAACTGTTCGAATGACTAGCGATGACTAGAAATATTCTAAAGAAAATGCCCACAGTCACATGGATAATCACAATCTATGAATTCAGCATCATGCCTTTTTGTCCTCCTCTAATGGACTGTAGTGGTAAAACGGTTGGTCCAAGAACTTGAAATTCCGGCAATCCACACTGTGGATGTGATCCGTTGGATTTTACACGATCCGAGCCACGCGTTCACAAGTCTGGCGGAAAAAATACGAGTTCAATTGGAGAACGGGAATGCGATTCCAGACACACTGATTGCAAGCGCGATTCAAGTGCTTACTATGAATTCTGTCTACTACACACGCGGGTGAGTGCGCACCAGCGTCAGGTTTTTACCAGTCTTTATAGATTTGAGACCACGTATCAGAGAGCGGACAGTTGTTTTCGGTGATTCCTGTTTTTGTTCATTTAATGAACTTAACGTGTACAATGATCGGTGGTCCTTCACTAAAATGCAATCCCTTGTGTGGCTTCAGAAGGGACAGGGATAACGAAATTTGAGTGGAAAGAGAGGCGGGAGATTGTAATACTTGTGTAGAGAGGAGAATTATACTCAAACACACACTGGTCTCGTGTCGTTTGTTCAGTGTAATCGTAGCTTTTCATCAGGGAATCCGATTCAACTGAATAGACCACTTTTGTTGACGTATGTTCCGCATCATGAAGTGAGCAGTGACAGTCTCGATTGCGGTCCGAGTTCGTAGTCTAACTGACTCTGATCAGTTGGGAACGACTAGCTACCCGACTCAGTAGTATATAAACTAGAAATGCAATTGGTTTTATGAGGAACAACATGGCCCCATTATCAGTAGATGTGGGCACTGTACCTGTGAACGATCGAATAGATTATTCCAAATTGACTACTCTTAATTGCCTCAACCATTCGCACAAGGTGGAGACCGTTGATCCTGTAGCTCACGAGCAAGAGCCTCAGGTACCGACCCGGATGTTCACGGTTCGAGTCCTAGCAGAGACACAAAAAGTATGCACTGCTGACAAGTCTCAAACAAGACGAAACAGCTCTGCAATGCTCTTTGTCGGTCGTCACAAATCTCTCAACCGATTACTGCCAAAAGTTTAAGTGTGTGTGTAAATCAACAAACTAAATCATAAACCGTTCACTTTTAATTTTCAAGTGCCAATTACCATTGAGCTGCCATTTTGTGCAGCTTCCCTAATCTGTTTACTCTTGACGAGAATACAGAGAATGAAAAGAATAAATATGTTCGGCAAGGGAAAAACATGCTGAAAGTGAACAGGCTCATGAGTCCATGTAACCTCACTATCTGGCATCACCAACTACTGGTTAGGACACTCTCAGCTAATTTTACTTTAAAGTCTGTCGTATAACACCTCATCCCCGAAAGCGATGTGTCACACCCCACATTTGTATTTTAAAATGACACCAAACTCCGTAGAACCATATTATTCAAATCTGTCTGGTGTTATTCTTGCAGACGTTATTGTCCTGAATAGTTTGATAACCAAATTTCTGAAAACAAACAATCAGAATGGTCTACAGAGTAATTTCTTCTTAGCAGGTAATTGAAAACTAAACAAACAAGCTTGGTTAAAATTATCTAACTGTGGAATTCGTCAGAAGGAATCAACGGCATGTAGTTGGATTGAACGAGCGTATTTGGTAATGATTCGATGGAGAATTCGTTGTCCCATCGAATTCAGATTAGTTGACTTCGCTGGTTAGGACACAGATTACACATCGTGCTGCGCTCTTTTCGCAGTTGCGGTTCCAGGTTGGAAGAAAATTCGTGGATGTAAACAGGTGACGTGGAAACGAGGCATAAAGAAATGTACAATGCGATTCAACTTAATAAGAGTCTCCCGTCTTCCAGTTTGGAGACCGACAAACTGTGCAACTGGTTGGTTGGAGACACTGAAGAATATTGCGACTAGCCGACAGCAGTGGCGTTCATGTTGTCACTTCTTATCAGGTCAGAATGCTTGAGAAGGTATGTATGCACACTTATGTTGTGTACGCTGTGTTGACCATAGAAGTTCACTTGCTTTGCCTTCCTCCAATTAGACCCAATCCCTCTCCATCTTGTGGCTTTACCACTTGCCTTGTGTATATTGTTAGCTTGGCAGCGATCAGTGAAGTTCGCTTTACTGTTTCTCGCCGTTCGATGATGATGATGTGTTGGATTGATCGAAATGACATATTGTCGGCCCAGCAATCCAGTGGATGTTCATGGAATTGGTGCTTATTTCTTCCTTTCTCTCCATTTTCATATGACCAACCGTAACTACATGGCTTCTCAGTTTCATCATCGACGGTTATCCAATCACTATGGAACAGGCTCAGTTACTCAACTTCGAAGGCATTCGTCCCGGTTTGGTGATCGAGTTGGCCATTGCATCAGAGGCGGACAAGTATGTACCGTTTTGAAGCACGCATTTATACATATTTTTCAGTTCGACCATCACCTTACCATTCTTGTTTCATCTAAGGAAATTGCATTAAGGCTAAAAGCTTCTACCCGACTGTATAAGCATCTGTAGGGGACAATTTCGTGTGCTGTATTGTGTGCTAGCCGTACCAAAAACATTGATAACCCAGAAGAGTTACAAGTTAGGTTGGATAACTGAGGGGATGGTGTTCACGTGTTTGAAACATGTCCTTTCAAACTGGAAAATGTGAATACAACACCGGATTGATCTCGCTCTGTCTTACAAGTGGATAGGTGTTTTACACAGACTGTTATAACTCGCCCGGTAGACTCAGTTTCGAGAAGTCTGATTGATATAAGCGCTACTTGCACTAAGCTTGGATGGTCTTCACTGACCTGATATCGACCAATTGTCGAAAGTTGGTCTCTGGGGTTTGAACTTTCGTACTCACTGTTTCTGAAATGAAACTGGTACGCGCAGAACGTGCAGCACTAGTGCGTGTTCGATCAGAATGGAGTACCTGACGGAACTGAGTGATCACCAAAGCTAACCTCAAATGAGAGGTTCTGTTCCACCATCTTGAAGTTCAGTGAAAAATTTTAATTTTAATTGTCCTACTTGTTCTTCTTCTGCTCATCCAAGAACCGTAGCCAATAATAAAATAGTGATGGGATACATGAATATTTCTGACAGAAACCGGGCGCAAAACTATCATTTTTGCTCACATTCATTTGCTCACATATGTGAAAAACATTTTTGATCCAAAAATTAAGGAATCACTCATCCTTCAACTGTGAAGCACATGAGCAGTTATTAGACTAGTAACAAAAGCATTGAACACTGTCTCTGCTATTCACCAAGGTTGCATGCATTGAACGTTTTAAGTCGAATCCTGTGAAAACCTAATCTAAACATATTGTGCACATTTCTCAACTCTGATTTTCAGTGCGTACCACCCGATAAATAGAACTGAGATGATCAGCCACTATAAACACACTGGTAGTCGTCGTTGGTTATGAGGACACATTTTTATGCATCAAATTGATACTGGCCTCATTACTGTTGACCGTGAGCAACTTTACCTATCGGTTTTCTTGCCATACGACAATAGTACACGCACCGCGTGTGTTTGTTACATTGACTTCGAACTTCACATTACGCAACAATCATCCGGTATCTGAGTACAGCGTAGTCAGCAGGCTCCTTTTGAGGCGCTTTATAAAGCTACCGCACACAATACATTAAAACATGTACCAAACACGCAGTGGAAGTGAAACAAGTAGCAACAAAAACAAAGCAGTCAGAGTATTATCGAGGGTGTTGCACAGTGTGAACCTCAGTCCTCTCGACGTAGACAGCACGAAATTGCATGCTGAACGGTTGTGAAAACTGAAGCTGAAACACTGTGAACGTTCGCTGAATTTCTCTAGTAAAGTCTTAGTTTATTGACTGTCAAATACGCCCGTTAGAATTGCTCTACGATGTATATACGTAATAGTTAAGTGACAGTTGGCGTTTTACACGGATGGAAACCCATGGCAACGATTTTTGAACAGATGTATCTCCCGTGTGAGACTGGAAACTCTTTCAGTGTGTTGCTTAGTTTATGTTCATGGATAATTCTGCTGTTCTCGGACAAAAATGCCAGCCGGTCTTCGTTCTTACCTTGTCTAACATGTGTTTGTTCCCTTTCTCCAAAACCGTTTCCGACTATGATTTGTTTGGCACGTAGTCTGAAACAATATCGGTATGGTAAAATATCTCCGGTGATGCATAAAAACAAAGTCGTAACGCAAATAACTTTCTTTTCGATATATCGCTCCAAGCATTTGTATAGGCAGTTTGATTAGTCAGGAGAATAATACAAGGCCTAGGCTATCGTTGAACGAATGTCTGTGTGCAAAATATTCAGTTGACAACAAGCTATGGGGTCACGATAATCAGTATGATATACATACACAAACTCATGTGTACTATTTTTATTTTTAATGTATTTGTGTACTAAATCCTCAGTACGACAAGATTTTTACTGCTAGTTTTCTGTTAGGTTTGTTCTAATTCAGTTAAGCTGGCATCATGCATGGATCCAATAACGAGATAACACCACCACCACAGCTCGGTCGTGGATTTTTCACAACGCTCGGTTACAGATGAATTCACAGACCTATCTGGGTAGAATAATCATGCAAGCATGCATTAGTCTGTCAGCTTTCAGTTTCACATGTGACTTATCGATTCAGAGAACTCACTTCAGTGAAAATCTCATGTAAATCGTTTTTATCACAAATTATGCAAGAAGCATC